AGTTTTTCCAAAGCTAAGCCCAAACACTTTTTTCCTTCCCTTCTGTTAAACAGCTTTGATTTCAGGTGTTTAAGCTGCACATTAATTCTTTATAGCTTCATTAGTCCTAAATATGCAATAGCTCTGCAGTTAGAAAAGTGTTTTCAGTGTTTTACTAATTATATCATGTTCAAATGTTTGATAAACATCCTCTGCACAGGATGTTTATCAGACTGTTATATGAATGCTATAAGTCAATAAACAGGGGTTAACTCCATCCTCGCAAACCCACTGTGATCAAGTTTAGTAAGAGCTAAAATGGCAAGACTAAAATACGGAATATTCAGGCATGTGTCATGATGAAACAGAACAATGAAATGCAATAAATTTGGATATTGTAACAAAGGATCACGATTTCACTTCTTTTAATTCATAACTGTGAAATATGTCCAGGTGTCAGACTTTTTCTGATAGTATTTGGCATTAAACCAGGCTCTTTGCGCACTGTTAGTTTTGCTGAACAAATGAGATTTTATGAGGCAAGTGAAAACAGAGAATTCTAACTGCAAAAGGAAAAAGCTGGCTGTATAGCTATACTTGTGCTGAGCCCACAGTTGCTGGCACCACTGAAAAGCAACAAGCCAGCTGCTGTTTCCGTGCCAACCAGTGGCTTCGCTCAGACTGAAGTGTTTGTCTAACCAATCACCAGCTCAACTTGTCAATTAAGTCATTCGGTGTTGGAAAGACAACCAGAAACCACAAAAAAGAGAAAGGAAAAATATTTCAAGTAAACACGTTTCACTTTTTTGTTTGTTTGTTTTTTCGCATCTAGGAGTTTCCTGACTCTGACTTAACCACAAAGCCCCCCACACAGGCACTTTGGTTAACATAATAAACTTGCGGTCTCAGATGCTTCAGATAATCTAGATCAGATCACAGCTGAAGGCAGAAGTGTTTACACCCTTTTAATGGCCACACTCAAAGACCCTCTCTGATCTTTGATTGTCTTGGTAGATCTTACATGAAGAATCACACACTTTGGACAATCTGTCCTTGAGAGCTCAGAAGTGATTTAAGTGGCTTTGAAAAGGGTCCCCCATTTTTTCCCCATCAGAGAGACTGTGCTTGCCACTGTGTGTGTGTGACATTTATTATCCTACAATTTCTATTACTTCTCTATCACTTTTGTTCACTTGATCGTGAGAGAAACGTTCAGCACCGGGATGCTTTGAACAAATGTGTGTAATGTGCGTTATTGCGCGCAACGCGTGGCTTCACATCTCTGCGCAGACGTTTAAAAACAGAGCGCATTCTTCGACGTACCTGTTTCCACAGAAAGCTGTCCGTTTCGTTTAACATCCAAGAAATGGCCACGTGGATGGCGGAAAGAATAACTCCAGTGATGACCGCAGCTCGCATCCTGACGGGAAGCAGAGTGTAGATGACATGGATGAAGAACACGGTCCACCAGATCCCCTCCGAGGCACTTCTGGGCTGTACGAGCAGTACTCCGATCACCTGGATCACCAACACCATCAGGATGACCACATAGCACACGACCCACATGTGGTCCTGGTGAAATCCGTTCCTGTTGCAGATTACCATGAGCACGAGCGTGAGGAAGATGGCCACAGAAAATACCACCACGTACGTTACGCTCGGTCCCGATCTCCCACCGGAGCAGTGAAAGCCCAACATGACCGTGTACACCAGCACAAGTACGCCCATGAGCATAGTCAAGCTGCTCTGGTTGAGACGGAAAAAGTAGCGCTGGTAGAGCCGCTCCAACTTCTCCGACTGGAATTTTTTGGATTTGAAAATGTGCATGACGCTGGTGCAGCACGCCACGAAGGAAAAGTTTACTTCGGGCATGACCTCTTCCTCGTCGGTCCTCGGCTTGGCTCTCCGCTCTTCCAGACCCAGCTCCACGGACTTGGGTCTCACCTCGCCGTCTGGACGTTTAGAGGACGCGCGGTTGTTGTCTCGGCTCTCCTCTCCATGGTCCTGCCAAGCCGACCTGGACCTGAAGCTGACCCTGCTGACGGTCGTGGAGGCTCGCCCGGGCGGCCGGTGGTCCAGATCATCCTCCTCCGTCCACCGGCTGTTGGTCCGGGTGAGCTTCCTGCGCGGAGATCTTGCTGAGTATGGGCACCCGTTGGCCACAGACTGAGACTCTCCCCAAGCTGATCTGTGCTCGGTCCCTCCCCTCAACCCGGGAGCACCGACTCCGGGTGGGCTGACACTGTTTGATCTGGACATAGTGGAAAAGTGGATGCAGTGACAGAATGTTATCTAAACAAATAGCCTATAGGAGACAGGGGAGGGAAAAAGAAGTTTGTTCCACTTAAAAGAGGGAAGGGAACTATTTAGTCCCAAGGATGAGTCGCATTAAATGTCTTTTATTAGCTGAACTTTCCATAGCTGATCACGCTTCAGACAGCCCGGGGGCTTTGACTGTAAAATGTAAAGTTAGCAGTCAGTTTAATCGCCACTTTCAGAAGCAAACAGTCGTCCTTAAAAGCCTTTACAAATAAAATAAAATCACCAAAAGCAATAGCCGAGAATAGCGAAAAGCTCTGGGAATTAAAAAAAAACAATTGAACATGCGCAAAAAGTCACAGGGGAGCCACGAGAGGAGGGAACATTAGATCCAGGTGGATTTGGCTCTACATCATTGGGCCCAATTAGCCATCATCCACGGAGGTTGCAGGGCACGCGCTGCAAATGGAATAAAACCATTACACAACTCGGATAGTTCCCCAGAGATCATAGTGCAAGCAGCAGCATCAATTGGCCAATTCCAATCCGTTATATGTGCAGATACGTTTCCTGTATCCTTGTCAGCGGTTTGCAGGCGGAAAAGACGGAGGTGGGATGCCATATGAAGGTGAATGCCATGGTGACGGCTCTGATCACGTCCACTCAAATCCTGATGCACCTGTACTGAGCGAACATTGAAGCCTGCTCGGCAGCGGCGGGGGAGCCTCACGTTTGGCCAAAAATCAGCATCACGATTCTCTCACACTTGCACTGAGCAGAGAGGAGAAGTCAGCCGCTCCTCCTCCTTCTCCTCATCTGACAGCCACAAAAGACAGCTTCTCCGTCCATGGTTAAAAAACCCCAAAAACAAACCCGCGTTACCGCACTGTTCAATTCACCGTCAGCCGCTGCGCCAAATCAATGTCCAACAGCTGCCCATCACTGTTCAAATCCCTGAAGAGCGACCCCCCCACCCCGACTTGGTTTGCAGCGACACTCCTCCTGCGCACGGCCATTTCGCAAAGTGACTAACCGGTGCAAAAGTGCGCTCCCGGCGCCTCGGACAATACGCTCGGTGTGCGTTTGGAGCGTGGCATCATAACATATTTACCGCTGATTGCTGCTTTAATGGTCATTCAACCAAGTTTGCTTCCTTTGATCCGCCTCTCCGGCCCGCTTCCATTGGAAAAGAAAAGGGGTGAGTCACGCTTTGACGCGCTTTCATTGGATGACAGCTCGGTCAATCCAAATCAGATTCTGCGCGACCCCCGGGCGCTTTCGATGAATGGGCGGGACTGCGCTCACAGCTGGATAGCCCGCATGGCACACCCCACACGTACCTTACAGCATGGGTTGAATTTTATCTCAGTGACCCCCCAGCAGGTTGCCAGTTCCAAACTGCGTCCCCCTACTCCAGTAACACAGAGATTTGTTCATCTCCAGCTGCCCGCGATCTATAGCAGGTTGAGAGACATTAGTCAGGACAGAGAGCACTAAAGGGGTTTAACAGAAAGAGGTTTTAAAACCTTGTTTAGGGGGGCGGCAACCAATCTTCATAAGCCCTTTATGTTTAATGAGATTTGACTGGTGATTCAATACATGTGGTTTTTGTTTCTCGGTGACAATTACATTCAAATGTAACTTATACTTCAACTTAACTGTAAAAGTTCCCAGAGGCGTTTCAACATGACCGCCGATGTTGCCAGAATTCTCTTTAAAACAACTTCACTCATATTCTCACATTGTTCTTGCTCAAAAAAGTAAAATTGTCCTTTTCTAGACCGAAATACATGCTCATTACATAAATAATGTATTTTTCTTTATTTATATTTTGGTCCAGTCTGATTTTGTTTTAAGTCATGGCTTTTATTGTGAAGCGTTTTTGTTCTACAGCCTAAATATTGTTTAGTTAACAGATTTAGTCATTTACCGGCTCACAGTGGATTTGATCCACTTGTAATGGGATTTTCTTTATATCATCCTGACATTACTGTCTGCCCTTCATTTTACCGCACAGGTATGCCCTGTTGTCTTTCAGCTCTTCCACTTTAAAGCCTGCAAATGTCTCTGCTGCCATTTACACATGGGGAAAAGAACACTGTGTGTTAATGAATGTACTGGGAGCATGTGACAGGGAGCCTCATGTGTTTGCTGTGACCGGCTCACCTCCAGCTGAATTCCCTTTGCCCTTTCTGGAATTCTTTCGCTGTTAACGGAGAGAACAGTGGATTCTATTCAGCGCTGTCCTCATCAAATGAAAAGAGACTCAGATATAAATCTGATACAAAATAATCTCAATCCGAGTTGTGCAACTGATTTTCTCAACTTGTCTTATGACTCCTTGTTCTGCTTCCTTGTTGCTCTCTTGCACATACCTAGCACAGCACAGAGAGAAAAGCAACCATATTCAGTTCCTGCAAAGAGCCTGTATTTGTGGGTTTATTTAGGGACTATTGCTGATCTCCTTTTTTTTCTCACCTTCTCAGAATTGCATTCATGAACGTGTACTGCACGTGCTGTGTCATTCAGCTTCACCACATTTCAGAGAAAACCATCCTACCTTTTACAAGTAACTCCACACCTGCATTTCATGCTCAAAATGTATGCGGACACCCAAACTGTATTTCATGTGATTGCTATTTACCCCATAACAGGTGCTCATTATTAGCCCTGGATATCTCGCTTCTGATCATTTATCTCTACCCCTCCTCTTCACATCCTCTCTCAGCCCATACACAAATCTCCTCTTTGGCCTTTCTCTTTTCCTTTTTGCTTCACCATCTTCAATATCCTTGTTTAACCTACTAATCCTGCCCATCCGCATTGCTCCCAGCCCAAATCTCAGCATCTTTGTCCCAGCTGCTTCCAGCTCTACCTGCCTTTTCATCAGTGGCACCCTCCCCAACTCGTCTAGCTGGATAACTAACTCCCTCTCACTCCCACTGGTACAAATCACTCCTATTCTTCACTCCTGACTCCTCAGTCTCCTCCCCATCCAGCTTGGACTCTTTTCTTCATTTGTCCTCAGCACCCACCTTGACATTTAAAGTCAACCAGATTAACCACCGCTAGTCCAACTACCTTGCCTCCCTCTCATGTATGCTCCCATTCCCATTAGGGTTTTCATTCCTATTCTCTCCACCTGCTCCATACCTGCAGCCAGAGTCTCTCTTATTTTCTCCCAACTCTCCCTGCAGTCCATCTGCATCTACATAGGAATTCTATTGCCATCAGTTTTAGATGTCTCTCCTCTATAGGCATTTAGACAGACTTTTAATTGAAATGGTATGAAACAGAGTCCAATCTATACAAAGTGTGTGAGGAATGGCTTTCACATTTTACATAGTGTATTTTTACCTATAAAATACATGATCAACTTAGGAACAATAAGAACTTCTCTTAACAAGTATAAGGTCACTAAAACACTGAATTAAAATTAAATCTCTGGCTTAAAAGATGGAATATAATGTGCATAACTAATGCTTTATATTACTTACATTTTGGGGTAAAAATTGCCAGATGCCCTTCTTCATGCAAAGGGGCTTGTGTCAGGTAGTTTTGCTTTTACTTCAGAAAAAAATGCAAACATATTTTTCGCTGTTGTCCGGGTTGGCTAAGATGTTGCTGAAAAGCATCCCAATCAGTTAAAAACTGGAAACTCTGCTAACCCTTCTCACAGCAGGGCCTTCAAGCACAGAACTGTTTGCTAGTGGCTGCTTCTTTATACGAATACAAATCAAGCCAAGTTTGTGCAAACTGTGGCCAGTGCATTTGAATCATTTTGATTTACAAATTTCCACAGCCTGTGCGTGTCAATGTTCCCTGTTATTTTATCTGATATTACAGAGCTTTCAACTCCAAGTTACCCTGGCTGAGTCATCCAACATTATCGATTGTTCCAGTTAAAGCCAAATGTCTTAATTTGAAATGAAATTAGCAATGCTCTTAATCCTCTGAAGAGCAAACAAATAACCGAGAAGTTGCAGTTAAATCGTGGCTAATAATATACAGTTAGAATATCCACATTCGTTTCACAGTGATTACAACCACACACACACACATTTGTGTTTGTGGCTGATGTGACACAGAACACTACTGCCATCGCCTGAGCGTGAAATTGAACATTTTACACAGCGTGGGCGAAGACGTAGCCACACTCATACTAAGAAACAATTTTTTTTAAATGAAAAACTATTGTTTCAAGGCTCCAATAACCCTGTGACCCTCAACTGGATTAATGGTTAAGAAAATTAATGGACGGGTGTGTTTTTGTCTTTCATTTAAATCCAGAGTAGTTACTGAGATATTTTACATGCAGAACTTTTACTTGCGTTTCTCTTTCTTTTCTTTCTTTTTTTTTTTTAACTCTCACCTCTCACCCTCACTGGCAGCTCTTCAGATGTTATATCATAGCCAATTAAATCTGAACTGAAAAGCACAACTCAACTTGTAAGCCAAAACAGCCTTTCAAGTATTCAGGTAGTTTCAGTTTCACCATGACAACTGTGCAAATTCAATTGGGATCTTTTGATACTTTATGACTCCATTCTCAGCCACCAAATAGACAGTGAGAAGGCACTATCATGTTTAAGGGGGAAAATCAGTGAAGTCCTCATGTGTGTGAATTTCCAATAGAGACGGACAAAAGTAAGTGTGATGAGAAAGAAACGAGAGAGAAATGAGTCACCCAGGACATGCAGCTAGCAGAGGGATGACTCTAACCTGATCCTGGTGCACTGAATTACTGCCACGGCTTGTTCAGCAGCACAAAGAGGAATAATCAAAACTCAACCCTGTTTCAATTAGAGGCAGTGTTTGAGGCAGCAGAAAACCAGCCTCGGTGAGCAGCAGCACTGATCCACTGAATCGGTTATTATGTGCTGTGCTGATGCTTTGCTGAACATCATAACGCCCACATAAACCATTCGCTGTTGTCTAAAATAACGTCAGTTATTTCAGACTTACAGGGGATGTGTCGGCTGAATTGAGTAAAGACGCAGAACGACACAAAGATACTGTGTCGTGAAGAAGTGACACCGCGGTGAAGAGGTCCTCACCCACAGGAGGAGAATTCAGTCTGCGCTGGTTTCTCTGTCTCTCTTTTCCTCGGAAAGGAGAAAATGAGGAGGACTGCAGTGTTGTGTGACTCATCCTGGTGTAGAGAGCAGCCTTTACAGTCTCACCTGTACGAACACACGCACACACACAAACACACAGCCCTACATATACAGTCAGAGATACTATCTGTTTATCCAATAAATTAAGTTCACACTCACTTACTAGAGTATTTCAGATATGAGGTTTTAAATCCCAGCCAGTCTTTGTGAATCTTGCATTAGATAGAATAACATTAGACAGTCTTAACCTCCTAGGACCTGGCATCCACATATGTGGACATCACATATGTGGACATACTTAATTTTGCTATACAAAGGCCTGATATCCACTCACGAGGACATTACACTGCCACCTGAAATGTTTCGTGTTTCATGCAATGTTCTGAAATCTTTGTACGTTTTTTGACTTTGTTGCAGGCGTACGTCTTCCTGCAACTGTTAGCAGCACTTCAAAGCTGCACAATTGTTGTTTCTCATTTTGTTTTTGTACTCAGGAAAAACGCTGCTGTGTTCAGACACCAAATAAAGAGTTTTGCACATCATTACTTAATTGTGACTTTATAATGTTCTATCAAAATTTAAAACAAACGTCCTCAGGTGGATATAATTTTTCTCAGAAACTACATCAGGTAAAAAGATCATTCTTTGTTTTTCCATTCATCAGGTCTCAATCAGCCCAAATAGCAAAGAGATATTAAAATTTCATGCCATGAAAAAGTTCGGGTCTTAGTAGGTTAAAGTGTGTTATTATGGGCTAGCAAGTATCAGTACTTAGGTTTTGGTTGTATTGGCTAAAATGTGTACCTTACCTTCGTGTTGTTAAGAAACGGACAGAGAACTGACAGTATGATTATTCTAGTTGTATATTTGTTAATGTTTCTGTCCATCCAAAATATGAATAAAAAATAAATAAAAATTGTGTACCTTCAGAGAAAGATGTAAGTATAGGGGATCTAACATTGTTAAAGCTGATATTTCTGATGATGTTGATGTAAAAGAAAACATTTCGTATTCAGCTGTCATCAACAATTTTAACACGTGTAGCAGTTGACAGGGCCCTTTGCTGTTGCTAAGTGATGGTATTTACATACACATCTTGCAGAAAGTTTTTGTT